AAAACAAGAGTACAGGGCAAAACCAAATCGAGTATGCTAATCGTTTGTTTTTTGTGGTTATTGCTTTTGAATATTGTTTTCAGTTTTTCTTTTTTTCAATTTATGAACAAGTCCATACATATCTATATACCATTATATTTTTGTCTTTATTGTTATTCTGGTTTTATATATGAATCCTTTTAGACAAGTTTTTTTTTTCTTTGAAGAGCTTTCCTGAGAAGATATTCAGAGGGAAAGAAGGGTAATCAGAACTGGCTGGGTCTTCCTTATCAGCTACATATGCTTGGCTAGGGCTTCTTTGGGCACTTTGGCTCACTGTGGATGTCAATGATAATCAACCCAGAGGACTATTGTTATGTTGCAGTGACTTAATCAGTTTCTGTTATCAGGGAATTGGCATTATTTCATTTTGCTCTCGTTGCAGCCAACATACGCTGTCAATGTGGAAAGTTGCATCTTTGTGCCAAAGTTAGGAACAGTCATCTTTGGAGCATGAGTTTGACTACTGGCAGGGACTCCAGCCACGATCCAGCAATCCTCACAGCAGAGCACTCACACATGCGCTAATACAGACACACCCTTGATCTCATGCACAGTATATACACACAAAAACATGTAACACACACACACACACACACACACACACACACACACACACACACACACACACACACACACACACACACACACACACACTCCTTTCACTCTACCCCCAGCTGTAGCAGATGTGCCGACCTGGCATCGAGTGCCCGGAAAGAGATTTACACTTGACCGTATATGTAGCACTTTTTGTTATCCTCTATTCAAGTAAGGCACATCTGGGCCGCTGAGAGTAGAGTCACTGTCTGTGAGCTTGTCTCTCCGTTAGCATGTCCAAACTGAGGACAACGTCAACACATGAAATACAATCAACCCTAGAGCACTCCCCGATGAGCCAAATACACGCACACTTTCAGCACGGGCAAAAACATCCACACATAGTAGCAGCATTATGCATTAACATAATGATCAATCAAAGACATATGCAAGTCATAAGCAGGAATCCTTATGGAAGACATTTTGGAATCAGACTCAGGGCTTTTCAGTAAGGACCAAACCCTAGCTGCTTTCAGGCACGCTAGAAACAGGCAATATTTATGTGTGTATTCTTGACTCCGTTTTGATCAGCTCAACCCCTCTGCGTGTACATAGAAGGTGATAAGTCTGAAAAACAGCATGGATGCCAGTCTGACTCTCCCAGAAGGGAGGGGCAATTCATCATCATCATCATCATCATCATCATCATCATCATCATCATCATCATCATCATCTTCATCTTCCTCTTCCTCCTCATCATCGTCATCACTGCCCCGCCTGTGCTTGCGCTGGCATCCATGCAGCAAACTGCCTTCTCATCCCAAAAGCCATTATATCAACTTGTCTTCTTGTGTAAATCCTGACTTCTTTTAAAGGAGCTGTGGAGGAATATGTGTTTTTCGCGTATCATTTCTTTATTGCTAAAATGTCTCAGTAGGCGATCAGCTGGGAGAGTGCAGCTGATACACAGTACAGAGGTGGTTTTTTTTTTTTTTTTTTTTTTTGGTCTCTCTTTGAAGCAATATGAACGTTCTCTCTATAGTGGTGAGAGGTCCCATCTTCTGAATATGGGCAGGTCTCGTCATTTAGAGTTGTGTGCGTGTGTGTGTGTGTGTGTGTGTGTGTGTGCGCGTGTGTGTGTGAATGCTGTATCATGTTTTCAGTCATTGGGTGAATGTCCTCGGCATGGTGCTATCACACAAAAACTCTTGTGTGATGACCTCATCCTTTCTCTCTGCTGGGCTGTCATGATGTTAATGACGGTAATGCAGGCAGAATATTGAGATTATGTTGTTTTGTTTTTGTTTTTCAACATGGCCAAGGTGTTGTCTACCCTCTGTTTATGTCAACTCTTGTCATACAAAGAAAAGCCATATAAACAGTAAGAGGCACAATAAACTACTTTTGTGAGATTACTGGACTTTTTTATTTTCTTACTCATGCAAAAATGTCTCATATGAAATTTAACCCACACAAGCACAATATTTAAACACTGTAAATAATAGCTTTGCATATAACCACACATTACCAGGATGCATCAGTAGAGGGAGCTCTTACACCATGACTGCAGGCTATACTGCATGCAGCAGAGTTCACCCTGCATGGAGGATGGGAGCAGGTTCTGTTGGGTCATGGAGAGCTGTGGGTGCAGAGGCTAATAAATCACAGCCTCCTGCTGAACAAGGACATCAGATAAAGGTCTGTTCCTAAGATTTGTTCACTCTGCAGTTAGAGGAGGGCAGGTGGTAGCGTTAAAGAAAATCATCAGAGTTACTCTTTCCCGTAGTTTTGTTTCACAGATAGAGTGGTCTAGAAGATCGAGAGTAAATCTGTCCGTTATGATGTATTTATTGAATTTTAGAAAGGTGGACAACATGAAATAGGAAGAAGAGTGTATCTGAGAAACACCACAGTACACCACAAGACAACTAATGACAAAAGAAAGTGCAGATTAGATTGTAATAATGTTATCTCAATTTTTTTAGATACATTAGATTGAATTCATCAGATATTAATAGAGCTGAAGTGGTTAGTTATTTGATTGGTGGATTAAAAACTGACTATTTTTGTGTGATAATTTTGTAATGGACATTTTTTAAATAATTTCTTTTACATTTCACTGACTTAAAAAATTGATTAATTGAAAAATAATCATCAGCTCAATCACTAATGAAAATAAACGTTAGTTGCAGCTCTAGATATTACTCATGTCCATATTAGAGGTGTGCCAGGGAAAATGAAAATGGTGCTTCCAGCTAAACAGTCAGCACATGGTCCAACATGGTCTCAGATTTTGTTGGACTTATGTGATATTTGATCTTGTGTGAGACAGCATCCTTCATCCAAAACTGAATCTGTTTTGGTAATGACCTGTGAAATGAAAGGACAGCAGGGCCTTAAACTCAAAGTCAACAAATTTGTCAGAATATCTCAACATTGTGCAAACCACATATACCACATATACATCTGTCACCGTTTTTATTACCCCTGCCATGGTTACCCCACTGCCACTGATGTGATCAGCTTCTCTTGATATCCTGATAAAGAACAGGAACCCTCTTAGTAAAGGGCGAGTGATAGTAAACATCTGTCTTTTTTCAGTGTACCAGTGTGGGATACTAATGCCTCACCTTGATTTTATTAATAGAGACAGAGAGAGAGAGAATCAGAGGAGGGTGATAAACAGAGATGAGATTCTATCAATTATATGATTGCTTTAATTAACTGTCATTAAAGACAGATCAATAACGCCAGAGTGGAATTAAAATAAGGTCCATACATTATACACTATTTTACAAGGAACAATCAAATGGGCTCATATACTGAGCCCCTGGAAGGTGTTGCCATGGGAACCCATGGGAGGGTTTGGGTGTGCTCGGGGGAATTTAAAGGAGCCGGGAAAGATTTCTCCGCACTCATCCTTCCAGATCAGTGATATTTGATTAACTAATTACTTGAGGTAGGGAGGCTTCACTGGAAATGAAAAAAGGTTGAAAATGTGTGAAGAAAGGCCCCTGGAAAAAATGGAATAAGTGTACGATGAATTAATAAAGGGTAAAAAATCTCCCATGTAATTTTCTTGCAGCCACAGGACATCAATTATTCACAAAAAATAGTAAAGAATCCATAAAAGTAGGTCATGACTGCGGGATACCAAAGAAATTCATTTGAATATTTAAACCCAGAGAGAGACCATGCTGCACAAACTGCACAGTTTGCTATGAACATGAGTAAACTGCATTGGATCCTCAGTCAACACACAGGAGAGATAATGAGGAGCAGCAGAGGCTGCTGCTCCTCAGAGAGTGATCGGGAGGATAAAGCTCAGTGAACCCAAGTGCTCCTGGCAGCAGTGAGGGAGGAAGGGCCTGGGCTCAGGGTGCGATAAAGGCAGAGAACAGAGGTGGATATAAGCTGGGTTTGATGTGATAAAAAACAGGAGGGTCCCTCTGTGTGGACCTGAAGCTATATACAAGACAGAGAGCGTATATGTCATATGCTGCATGCATAGAATTGGGAGCAGGGTCATAATGTGAAATACCACATCATTTACAGTGTGTCTCCTGCTTGGGTCAGAACAGACAAAAAGGACATGCTTGTCATTTGTTACATATGCAGTGAATCCATGGAGGGTTGGGAATCAGTCAAGGGAAGAGAGGAGAGGTGAGGGGAAGGTGAGAAACGTTTTCAAGTGCAAAGACCATAAATTTCACACCTTCCCCTGTGCGAGCAGAGAGGCGGGCGGGCGATCTTAAAGAAAGGGCATTGGAGAAAGAGATGAAGAAATGGGTGAAGGTATCTGTGACAAGAGTGAGAATGGAGGGTGTGCCAGCAGGGAGGCAGAGGAAATAAACAAGGCCAGGTAGAGGAAGGGATGATTTGGGAAAGGGGAGCGAGGGCTGGGGAAGGCAGGCATCGGGGTCATAAAAACTAGGAGATGTGTTCTGGCCTCTGGGTCTTCATATCTTTTACATTTCTAATTAAAAGAGATAAAGAGTGAGGGAGCCATCAATCCCACAGTGATTTCCCAGTTAAGGTTTTAGAGGGAGCTGTAAACTAGGCAGCCCGGCATCATTGATTTTATAATTAGCTATCGTCACCCCAGACTTAAGATGGAGGGAGTGTGGTAGAGGGGCAGAAGGAGAGCTTAAAAGAGGGAGCAGGAGACTGCTGGAAGAGTGGGGAGGCACAAGGCTGAAGATGATGAGGAGGTCAGCCCCGAGGGGGGACTGAGGGAGAGCCAAAGGTGAGCAGAGAGAAAATCCAGAATGAGAAATGTATCTGAAACAGGCAATGAGCCAAAAGGGAATATAGGCTATAAAGCTGTGTGAAAAGAAATGGCATAGTTAATTACCAGTGAAATATCATGTGAGGATCTAAATATTGCTATGATCTTTGGCCAGAAAAAGACACATTAGACCCAATAATGGATACATAAACCGTTTTATTATACAGAACCCACCCAAACCCTGTTACATGACTGATAAGAAAATACACGGTGGTGTACATGTGGGATAACCTTCACACAAAAAACTTCAAAACAAACCATAACCACTGGAGCTTTATTGCAATGTGAGACGGTGTCCTGATGAGGAGCACTTGTATTGGAGCTCTCAGCGGAAAGACAAACAAAACAAAAAAAAGGACTTCCCTAAGACATAAAGTCAGATCACAACCACAAACAAGGACTATGGAGAATACATGTAGTGTGTGCTATATTCTGGGAAAGAATACCAGACTCCTCAAAAGACTATATATGGAGAATCGACATGTACTGCAACACCAGAATACCTAGTAAGACAAAGGAAATGAGAGGTGGACAGACATTTACTCTTTTCATATCTACCTTAATAATCCTGTTCCTTCTGAAGCTGTTTAAACATTAAAATCCATTTCTTTTGCAGATCTTCACCTCTGCCTTAAACTCAGCGTGCTGGTATCACTCCCTTTCATTAGCACCAATATCTTGCAACAGTACAACTCAAATATTAAATCTAATAAAAGACTCAAAGTGAGTATCTGAAAACAGAAAATAAAAACACAGTGTCGATAAAATATACGTAAACACAACACACAATGGTAATGATTAAGATAATGATTAAAAGGACACAACTGACATATCGTTAAGTATCCATATATCAACTTTTCATCTAAAAACTCTTCTATAATAAAAATATGGTGCAAATACAGCAGATAGAATCAAGCATCAAAGTGTCTAGCAAATTTTCTTAGCCAAGCATGGAAAATTTTGTCACACATTGCACAAACAGTTGTGTGAAATCCAAACACCTATTTCAAACTAAACCTGAATATAGTTTCTTTGCAGCATAACTCAAGTTAATTATAAATAGGAAATCATGAAAAATGCATACAGTATTGATTAAAAGGTAGTCAGCAATTTTATTAGACAGTATATTACCATAGGACTAGGGGAAAATACCAACACCATGTGATGATGTCAAGATCTATGAAGAAGATATTCTTTGACTCTTATTTCATTATTTTAGGCACAAATTTAGAACTGCATGACTGTGAATTAAGATTCCTGTACAATATAAACTGTAATAAAGACTGACTAAAGACTAAATATCCAAATGACCAGCTAGTAAATTAGCATTTCATTTTAATAATTATGAAATGTAAAATCCAGGATCATTAATTAACAAGTAAAAACTGCAGCTGATTTATAGCGAAAAGCTTATGAGCATTAATTTTATAATAATGAAGATATGAAGTCGCTGAAGTAGAAAGTTGCATCTGGCATCTATCTTGATAGACTTTAAACACAATCTGTTCAATAAGCTCTCTATTTCAAATAGAGCGCCTCTGCATCACTAAATCTCCTGAACTGCAACTGCATGACAATCAACTGCTAATGCGTACAAGAAAGTGCATATCAAATCTTAGTTCTGAGTAAATGGAGGAGAAATATGATGTCATAGACCTACATTACTGCAATATAATTTTAGCATGATGCTGTATCTTTACTTTATGCTGCCATGAATAGTGTTCAAAGCTGCTGGGTAGAATTTAATGCTGGAGGAGAGTTTTGCCATGATTTTCAGTGGAGCCAGGCCGGCACAAAACATCATAATTACGTTGCCTGTCATGACTCCTAATCACAAATGTCATAAAAACGACATAGCATCCATCGTAAAGCTCTTGACATAGCAATGATTCAACAGAAATCATTCTGCTACAGCCTGCAAACTCTCAAATGCTAGAGCCCATGCCTAAAAGCCCGTCGTATCAAACTATGCAACAGTCGTATGTCAGTCATAAACACGGTGTTGACCTGCCACCATAAGCATTATGTCATTCCTAACTACAAAACAGTGAGGGTAATAACAGTCTAGGAGGGGAAAACCAAGGTTCACGGCAGATACGATGTAAATTGCATATTAATAATTTGTCTGTGTAGTGAGTGAGCTGTATATGTGCTTGTTAGTGGAAGTAATGTGGAACCACACAAAGTCCCCCCTTCTCCTCTTTTTGATCACTCTCTGTGGCCGCGGCTGGACTGTCCACTGGTTACCATAGCGAGGTGTCGGCCAGATCACTGGAGGAAGACACAAAACAGAGAGTGTGTGTGTGTGAAAAACTTGAAAGAAACACACATTCTGGTTGAAAGAGGATGTTAGACTGAAGGAGTGGGTGAGTGGGAGAGCGAGGGCTTTAATGATGCTGAAAATTGGCCCGTGACTGCGGTACACCCCTCAGGTAAATCATTGCTACGGCTTGCTGTCAACTTATCTGTCCCCTTGTCCTCCCATCTCGCCCCTCCCACGCCCCGGCTCTGTCTCAGACCGTCTCCCCCGTCTCACCCTGACTCAACTTCTTTTACGACCACATATTCAAAACTTCCATCTTCCAGCCATACTCACCCTGTCACCATAAATAACTGGTCGCATGTGTCTGTGTGCTTTAGCAAGCTTTGAATTCATTGTGTACGTGTGAACCATTTCTGTGTAAGACCAGAGGTGGAAAGTAACTTTTGCTTAGATGCTATGTTTAAGGACAATTTTGAAGTACAAGTACTTCATTTTGCTTTTACTTTTCTACATTTCAGGGAGCAATATGATACTTTTTACTCCACTGCATTTATCTGGTGGCTGTGTTCACTAATTACTTTGCAGAGTAAGGCTGTACGCACAAATCAAGTCATGAGCTCATAAAATATAATGCATTACTGGAGTTTAAAACCAGCCATCGTGACAGGTAGAAATTTGTTGGCTTGTTTGAAATATTCATTTCAATATGCAGTCAGTAATGCAAATCTCCATTTTTGAACATTAAATCTTCAACTGTGATCAATTTGTTGTGATTGTCTTATCGTCACTCAATGTGGGAAATATGCTTCAGTAAGTAGTTTGTCCATGCGTCCGTTCACATGCATTTCTGCCTTTTAAAGTACTTTTAAAGTATCCTTCACTTAGGTAAAAGTGCCAATACAACCACCAAAATATACTTAAAGCATCAAAGGTAAAAATACATGTTCCCTCTGGCTGATATATCATTATATATATATTACATTATTATATTGTTAATACTGACGCAACAATATGTAAGTAGCATTTTATTGTTGTAGCTGCTCAAGGTGGAGCTGGTTTAAACTACATTATTCATAGGTAGGATTAGCTCAGGCCCCACCACCGATAAATCTGAGGGGTTGCGAGAGGATTAAAGTGGTAGAAAAGAAGAAATGTAAATTTAGTGGTGTAGAAGTATTAAGTAGCATGAAATGGAAATATTCAAGTAAAACTAGAGTACCTCAAAATTGTTGTACTGTACTTGAGTAAATGTACTTAGTTACTTTCTACCACTGATGAAACAGTCATGTGTGTTTGAGGCGGGAGGTTGTACCTGAGAACAGTGTCCGTGTGCTCAGGCAGCAAAAGTGCCGTTTCTTCTCCAGAGCTGTGCCTTCCGCACTGAAGTGGATCAGATTCCTCCTCCTAAACAGACAGGAACACACACGCACGCACGCACGCACGCACGCACGCACGCACGCACGCACGCACGCACGCACGCACGCACGCACGCACACACACACACACACACACACACACACTTAACACATATCTATCCAGCAGCTATTACAGTCTAATAACTTGCAGGCTAGCAGCCTAATTGCAAATGAGATAATGTGTATACCAAATGATCCACTGCCAATGTTTAATTGGCGTGCATGGCTATCAGCATGAAGACATAGCTCATTTTCAGTATCGCATATAATTATACTATGGTGACGCTGAACAGCTCAGATAGTGTTTCTCACCGAATCTGAGCTGTGTGCAAGAGTTTCAGCGCCGGCCTGGTGTGGTGAGGAGAGTGGGGCTGGCTGGTTGATGACCACTGCGCTCCTCTCCATCTCCCTCGGGGAAGGAGGAGGGGTGGCAAGAAGCAAGGAGTCAGGCTGGCCCTGCTCACACAGGCTGTAGTGTCCCAGAGGTCTTGGTGGACGGAGGGGCTGCAGGGCCTCAGGGTTTTCGTCCTCAGAGTCAGACAACACACTGTCAGGCCGCCCTGCCAGATAGAAACAAAGAAAAGCAAAGAAAAAGTGTTCACTTTTCGTCAAAGCACTGCTCCTGTTGCCCCCCAACACAGGCCATTCTGAACAATATTTAGTGTTGCTGTTGAATGATAGTTAACACTTTTATTGTTCACATCTGCAGGGCATACAGTAGATTAATGTGTGGCTCCATTCACCTGTAGAGACGATCAGAGCAGCGCTCCACTTGGCACTGGCCTCTGTTCCCATCTTCTGCTCCAGCTGACAGATGTACTCCATCAACTCCTGTAGTGGAAAATACAGCCATCATATCACACACCAGGGCAGTACTTTCATCATGGCTCCAACAACAATCACCCTTATAACCCTCATGATATCCAACTTCCTCAAGCCAAAACTGCATAAAATGGTTACACAGTAAATACAAAGACACAACATTTGTTATTCCATAAAGATTGTTATCTCTGTAGAATAAACATATAAACATTTGTTTGATTTATGATGTGCCACAGATTGGCCGCTATTCTCCCATATGGCAGATGTTAAAACTAAGCTGGACTCTGATTTTAAAAATGCTGACCATCTACTCCACTGCCAGTTCCGGGCAAATGCGGTGGTGGTTAGCCAACAAAAACTCTGCAGGCATTTTAACAGTGGCAGCACTGACTGCCCTGAAACCCACTGATTTATATTGCACTATAAACAATTTATATTGCACAATAACAACTAAAAAGACAACAACAGAAAGAAGATTCCTAACACCTGGGACATTCATAATACCAGTATACTTGTCTATACTGTATGTTACATCAGTAAGCATTAGGATATTAATATATTATTAATACCAAGCTTTTTGGAAAACAAAAAATATTCACTGGATCTTGACAGTGGTACAAATTGTAACTAAACTTGTACTAAATTTAAAGCTGATAATGAGTGAAGTGCTGCAGTTGGGAGCTTATTAAGATAAGACAGTGACAATTTACTTGTTAATCCATACAAGCCATTCATTAGCCTTGAGACCTTATCAGCTGATAATGAACGGGTTACAAAGCCAGTACCCGTGACACCACACACAGTCAGTATTTACACATGAATAAACCAACTCAAAAAACTCTTTGTCTGCACAGATTCAAGTTGTCCCCTGAGAATCAAACCGTGTTTCTGACCTGCTTCTCTGCGAGTAGCTGCTCCTTCTCTTTCTGGGCAACCCTTAAGCTGGCCTTTAGCTCCTGGAGCTCCCTGCGGGTTTCACTCAGCTGAACCTGATATCATAAGACAGCAGGCCCCAGTAAATTAGAACAATCTAACAAATTCTCTCATCAAATTTTAATGACACCAGGTTTGAGCACACTTTTGACAAAAGCATCTGCCAAATGCATGTAAAATAACACAGTCTTTTTCACCCGGTTGCAATCCTTTTCTCTTCCCAGCTCAACCTCCAGCTTCACTCTCTCCATCCTCTCCTCCTGCAACCTCTCCTCCATCCTCTGCATCTCTGTGTTGAGTTTCTCCAGATACTCGTGGTCCCTCTGTCAGGATGACACACACGCACGCACGCACGCACGCACCCACGCACGCACACACACACACACACACACACACACACACATATATAAATAAATATATATATATAAAATTTTCTAAATTCTCCACTTCAGATTCTATGTTCTGCAGCGATGCCGTACCTCAGCAGTGCGCTGCAGATTCTGCCTCTCCTGAGCCCAGTGGGCTCTTCCCTCTCTAAGGGCCAGACTGGAATCTGCAAGCTGAAGGGTGAGTTGGGCAGCCTGCAGACGAGCCTGATGCAGTTCGGCCTGCCCGTGATCCCTCTGGGCTACCATGGCACTTAGATCACTCTTCAAGCCCTCTGCAGCACGCTCACTTGAGTTCAGACGCTCCCGCAGGCTCCGCATCTCCTTCAGCGCTGCCTCGCTCTCCGTCTGGCCATAAAAGAACAAGAAAGCTTGTGTTGACTACATAGGTGATCTGCTACATGATGCCAGTCACTGAATTTGAAATGCCAAAGTTGATTCTAGCACAGTTTTGGGGTGTGCTGACATAAAACTCTTCTTAAAAACTACACTAGGAAGCATATCTATGAAGAAATACATCCATGTATCAGCAGAGATTGTAGAAACAAATTCTGATAAATTGTTTTAATAGGTGGTGTATTGAAAACTCAGATTACAAACACAAAATGTCTCCTGAACATCAGTGTTCTTTGTTAAAAATAAAACTGTGCCAATAGTTACAGTACATCACACATTTGAAGCCTCTAGCAGCCAAAGTCCAGCTTTAACTATCAAGCCATTTGTTAATCTCAACCCTCCTTTCAAATGCATCAGCTCTGAATTCCAAAGAAATGTCGGACCTCTTTCCTGTGGGCAGTGGTGAGTTTCTGGGTGAGTGTGGTGATGGTGTTTTGGAGCTGAAGGACACTGGTGTCTCTCTGAGCCAGGGAGTTCCTCAGACCCTGGAACTCCTTTGACAGACTTCTGAGCTCAGCTTCTGTCTGTTCCAGCTTGGTCTAAAAGAAACAAAGACGCAGATGGGGAAAAGAGAAGGAGATGAAGGAGAAAAGAACAACAGAGATAGAGGTTTTATTATGATGTACGGCATGTTCTGCCTTGTAAGTACCTGCAGGCTCTTTCTCTCACTCTCCTCTTCTTTCCTCTGAGCTCCTGCCCTCTTTGCTCTCTCCTTCATCCTGCACACACAGATTTAGTTACTGACAATCAAAAGTATTCATGAGACCAGCGTAACACTAAAAGTAGGAGAAGGAGAAGAGGTCAAGAGAAAAAAGCACATTTCAGACCTTTCCAACTCTGTCTCTCTTTCCACAGTTCTCTGTGTCAGGGTTTTGATGTCCTCCTCCAGCTCTTTGATTCGCTCCTCACTTGCCTCCCTCGCACCCAATAAAGCACTTCTCTCCTGGGCAAGTGATTCTCCTAAAGCCTGCTCCGCCTAACGGACCAGAGACATTTTGAATTTTTATAACAAATTCTAATTTATCATGACATAGGTTGAAACTTATTTAATAATAAACTATCTTAATATAATAACTCAGATATTTTCCTAAATTGCTGTTACTTAAAATTTTTATAATAAACTTGAGAGGAGATTGTTTAAGCAGAGACTTGTGCTTTTCATTGGAGAATAAGGGCATGGATAAAGAGGAAAATATGGAAATGGGAGCACTCAAACTGGTCCTAATCAAATGATCTTGCTTTTCATTTGCTTAGCTCTATACACCACCTTCTGCTTCCTCTCTATCTCCTTGATCTTCTCTCGACTCTGCTTCAGCTCTTCCTGCAGCCTGTCGATATCACTTTCCAGCTCTTTGCGTTGTCTGTCCCAGGCCTCTCTTGCCCTCTTGTACTCCTCCTTCTCTTTCTCCCTTTGCCTGTTTGCCACCTCCTGCACCTGCAGCAGCTCGGCCCGCTCTCGCAGACATTCCTGCAGTCGACTCTAAAAAGAGATGGGAAGAAGCAGCCAGCAGATGGGGAATTATCATTGCGCTCCAATCTTTGTGTGCTAACAGTAAATAACAGTATCGGTCTCCCAGCATATGTGTTTTATCAGCACTCAATTTTTGCAAAACAGGAAACATACTCTCCCTCACTACCTTATCTAGTCAATCTTTTCTACATTTTTAATACTCACCTGCAGCAGTTCAGCCCTGGGTACTACCAGCAGCATGCCCGTGCCTCCTTCCTCTCCATGGGGCTCCTCCTCAAGGGTCACCAGATCCTCCAGTGGCTTTGGTGCACAGAAAGTAAATTTGGAGCTGCGGGAGCAGACTTCCCCCTTAGCATCGACATATACAAACTCATACTCTTGGGAGCTGGGCTTGGGTAGGTAGGATGCTAAAAAGTGGTGGAAACAAGATGAGATACATTATACAAGTTAATTTGCAGAGAATAATTGTGTTTCAGAGTAGCCCTGCTGTCATTTAGAGCTATCTTCCCATTATGCTTATATGGAAAGTAGGTGCAACTTAACTACCACTGAATTTGGAGGAGCTAATCACCTTTTAAGGACACTATAAATCTTAATGAGACAGACAGTATTATGGTATTTATAAAATATGAGGCTATAAACACATTTATTTTACATTATATGGCTGTGCTGCTGTGATAAATAAAGCAACATTTACAGACGGTTTAACATTCAACATCTATTTTATTTTATATTGCAGTAACACAGATTTATAAGAGGCGTGTTGCAATACAACTCCCGGCCACCGGAGGCAGCACCAATATCGTTTAGCGCAGGTGTGCGAGCAGAAATTAGGCGCCATCTTGGATTTTATAATGGTCGTCATTACTTTAACGGAAATAACACTCCTTAGAATTTTATAACTTTACACCGGCCTGGAATAGACATTTTTTCATCATGACATATCAAGTCCAGCTTGCCTCGAGTTAGTTACGGTTGTCAATGAGCACAGAGTACCTGAAATAGGCGGGTCGCTCCAATGGTCGTGTATCACAACAAACTAACAACAACAACAACAAGTACAACTAAATATTGCTCAAGGTATTGCTCACTGTCTCAAGGTAAGTGCTATGTCTGCAGTGCTCAAAGAAACTCGTGTTTTCTGAGATACGCTTGTTTGCTCTTTTACCGGAGGTTAGAAGAGATTATTATCAACAGTTTTATCTCTGTCGGACCTGTTTAGCATAATTTAGCATACAAATGAACTGAAGCAGGTGAAAACAGTTAAAGTTAACTTCCGCCCAATTAAAGCGGAAAAACACGCCTTCCGGTGGCTCCGAATTTGACTCATTCACATGTTGTACTTTGTTAGATATCACCAATACATCCGAGAATTACCTGGGTTTTGTTCAGAAAGTTTGTGAAACCAGTAACTACACTGAGGACAGGAAAACACGGCCACTGAGTCCAGTTGTTTAGGGTCAGTGGGGCTAGCTACAGCAAGCTAACTGTTCACATCGCATCACCATTTCGAATTTTTCGAACACAAAATATGCCTGATAAGCGGTTTGTTGGCTCCTCCAGTGTTTGTGCAAAGCTCATGCTTGCCAAACATGTCAAATAGCTACTGTAGAAACCACAGTGATGAACGTAACATAGCAATAGCTAATATAACGTTAGAAGCACAGCAGGTGGTGGGATACACAGCTAAATTGGAATTAAGGAGCCTTCATTGGATCGTGTGGAGCTTGAACTCTTATTGTGAAGGACGGATGGCCGACGGATAACAACCTTTTGGCGACTATTACCTTAGTTAGAGAGGCTGAACGTTATACTTTACTTGCACACCATTACATTTATTGAAAGCCTCCACGGTCGTTTATGTTAGTAGTTAAGAGACACATTTTAATAGTGTTGCAAAAAAACGCACACTGAAGTCAAAATACTCACACTATCGTCTAGTATGAGTGAATGTGGAAACTTGAAGCCTGCAGTGCCTATACATTGAGAATGGACTTTCAGACAGTAGTTTAACTTTTGAAATGAAAAATAATTGCATATTCATAGATTCTGGATTTTTCAATGAAGGAGGAAGCATGGTTGAAAAATTTAATAAAGTCTGAGGAGGCAGTTTGAATATTTTTATGCATAAGCTGTATCAGACACACTATTAGGCAAAGCAGTGTTTTTTCATATATCTTAACTGGTTGATTGGTTTCTGACTAGTTGTGTTATTAGCATAACCTTGCAACTTAATTGTAGTTTATTTATTAGTTCCCATATTTGTCCATATCTGCACATTCTTGATTCTCCATTTCATTTTTTTTATCCCCCTCTAATAAAACATACAGGAATATATTAAGTTGTGTCTCCTGCTCCCCCCTGTGACCAGGGAGCAGCTAGCCACAGTCCATGACTTCACCCAGCCCATAAAGTAAGCTAATCTAATATTATCCTTATCTCACACAGGCCATAGCTTCATGTGTAGAATGATTTACTTCAAATTTCTGTTTCACAACACATGTGCAGTAAAGGGGTAAGATGGAAAACAGACAGGAAGAATGACATACAGCAAAGTTTATGAGCTGTATTGTAACTTATAGCACTAGCTTAGGTCACAGTGCAAGCAACGGTCTTTTTAAATCACTGCATCGCTGGTGATAAGGGACCATCAGCAGTTTTTTAGACTTTCTTTCCACTGCTATTCTTCCAATGAAGGATGACATTGACAGTATGCTTAAGTTAGTGATAAATCATTCTACCAGGGGTCAGTGCCACACCTGCTGCACACGTGCCCCTCACACTGAATCAGGCTTATCAGCTGCCACTGACAGGCAGGACAGAGTGAGCACTGTATTTGCCAGTGAGTAGTGGTAGTCAGAGCAGGCTTTGAGCCATTGTCTTTGTCATCCTCATTACTCAACCTCCTGCTTACTAAAGAAATTTATTCAAACCATGACACAGACTGTGTCTGTGTTAGACCAAGCCAATAGGGATGTTTGTCTTCTGCACAGGATATTTTCCCTTTTACATCTACGGAAATACCCTAAACGTAGAAATGACTAACATTTTTTTCTACAGTCGCAAGCCCTTTGTACAACAGAGCAATTCAATTTACAGAAAACATCAATCTTGTGCTGAAGGTTTTATGTGCGGATCTAAGCACTGTACTGTATAGATTCTGGCTAACTATGGGAAATAAAATGCAGTCAAGAGAACAAGGGCAACAGTACCCTGGAAATGCACAGAGCAGTTGACATCTATGCCCTCTTGATAGTCAGCCGGGGCTAGTGCCCAAACGAATGTGTGGTAGTCCTTCACTGATGACCATCCCACCTGTGGAAGAAAACATTCCCACTATGTTATTTTGCAGCTGTGTGTGTATATATATATATGTATATATATATATCTTTATTCACTTATTTGTGACAGTCATGGGGTTAACAATACCTTGAAGAGCCCTATCCAGTCATTACTGGCCCAGCTGTGCCAAGAACTCAGTGTGTAGTGGCAATCGACTCTGCTCTGAGGGAAGTAACTGCAGCCCACATTTCTAAACTCCACCCGCCAAGCCTTGTCCATGGCAACACAAAACAAAGGCAGGCTATTTTGCACCTACAGGAAAAAACACAATGTTCAAATTTGTGTTGAAACTTTTTTTTACTACTTTTTTTTTTTTTTTGTTGGAGATACTAAGTTCAAGGCAGAAATTGACATGCATGGTTAGATGAGCTAATTGTGAAGTAGGTAAGAGGTGACTGCTGAAGAACAAACAAGAGAGAGCTTGCAGTCTGTAAGTATTTATTTAGTGTAAGAAGATATCCTGACTGAGCGTACACTTGAGGAAAGGACACCGGAACTAAACCTCAGTGACAGCATGGCCTTTGAGCAACATAACATATAACATGTTTGTCACTAAGGCTATTTCAGTCATCCTCAGAATCATTTGGTATTGTACACCGTCACGTGTAAACATGCAGGACAAGGTATCTTGGGCCTCCAGCGTGTAGGGGCTCAAATTTCATTGGCAAATACTCTCCATGAATTTGAAGGAATTCCTGTTTGCAGTTAAACACACCACTTGCAGACATGCTTAACATACAGAAAGCATTATTTATTCATTTAGCATTGTGTGGGATATGAATTCCAGTATAGGTCATGTGTACCTTACTATGTTGAATGTACCCTGGCATGGCAGAAATTCTAACTTTCCCCCAGACACACATGCAAACAGCAACCCAGGGCAAAGGAAACAGTAATGGTGCAGCAGAGATTATCAACAGACTAATATGACAACATGTGCAAGGGAAAAACACTTAGAGAGAACTCTAAAAGCCCAGTTCTTTTCACACTGCACATGTGCTGCAGTTATAGATTAACTGTGACTTTATCAGATTTTCTCTCCTGTTTTACAGTCATAATCCTATATATTTATAGAGGATTAGAGTTTTCTATTTTACTAAAGCAATTTTAGGGGAATGAGAGAAGAAACTTTTCTAGTCTAAATATTTCAGAACAGTTTACAGATGCCGACTTAAACCACAGATCAGTGACGAAAATATACAGTAGCTCTCCGAGGGTTCACATTACTCAGCATGAGGCTTGAGGCCCAACAGTAGCACATGTCGACAAAACGATGTGCCATGCACGTCGATGCAAGTTTAGGAAGACAATCGTGTAATCTACGCCATTACAGGTAGACTTTAACCCATAATGGTTAATTATCATTGTCCAATTAGTTAATACGATGCGCGTGCACGTGACGGGAGACAATAACGTCTTTGTGAAATACAAAAGACATCTGCGCACATTATCTCTACCGTCACTGCTGCCTCGCTTACCTTTATATAGCACCTCTCTGTAAACAGTCTAAGCGAGCAGTCTCTCTATCAGATACTGGAATGACAGCCCGCGAGAAAACGACAAAAACATGAGCGATACAGCCGTGCTTTACTCCTCGGGCTCGGTTGCTCCACTAACCCGAAACAATAACAAAAAACCAAAGCAAAACATAAGCATGACAGCCTCACTTCCACTGAGGAATTGTGGGAGCTGTTGTTCGATGCGTCCTTGAAACAACGCTGAAAACCTGCACTTTAAACTACAATCCCCATGCTCAAAGCGGAGAAGCAGAGGTCGCACTGGACGTAATATGACGCTTGTCGTCGGCCGCCGTTGCTTTTCTCATCGGATGTCAAAGCACAGAGGGCCACTGGTTGTCTGACAGTGTTGTGAAGACGAACCAGTTGAAATCAGTATCCCTTGTGTGCGATGAGGAAAACAACGATCAGCGGGCACGATAGCGAAACGGATGCGTGCAGAGTGGGAGAGAGCAGTTTGACCCGTGTTCACTTGCTGTTGTGATTTCTTTTTATTTTGCAACCGTTCCTGTCATAGTCTCCAAGGAATCTCTAGCAGATGTCTGCATTGTGAATGCTTTGTTGTTGTCAACGTTATGGTTAGCCTATGCATTATTTTCCATGCAATTTAGATGGTAGGAATGTACACTATGAAGGCTACAATACGACAATAAAATACCATTGGTTCTCTGTAACCTACACAAAATCTGCATTTTACAGTTCTTTATCTACATTTTTTTCTAATCAGAAAATATCTCAATTAAGTTGGTTTTGCTGAGTTGTCCTATCTTATCTTTTATCTTAGTTATCTTACTGTGCCTCATAACGTGGGGGTGCAAATAAACCAACATGATGATGTTATGGCGCCGGACAGCAGATGGCAGTATACCATCTTGAAAACCCATTGCCTTGCATTCAGGTTGCCACATGCAGACCATATCCCTAAAACCTCTAAAACACACAGTGCATGCTCTTTGGCTTCCTGAAACTGTTCCATGGCCTTGTGAAGTAATCTGAGTCTGTTTTACATAATGTAGGAATTAGATAAAGGAAACATACCATTTAATTAGGCTGTGGCTTGATATATGAAATGGAGAAATTAAAATTCCTTAAAACCGACATACCCTGCAACTTTTCATTAATCAAGGCTGCTGCAATTAAAGTCCTGGAAATATTACAACAGAACAGCAAGTATATGACTGGCTGATGACAATGCCTCAGGATAAGGAGAACATCGCTGTAAGGTTGTGGAGGTGGAGTGTATTACGCTAATTTGTTAATTTGTTGTCTTGGATCAAAATGCCTAATTGTGAGTTTTTAAAAAAAGTACTTATTTGAATATTGACTTTGTAATTAAAAGGGAACTTGATCTGAATTGATTTTAAATTCACATCAGGATTAAAATGATGATTTAAGGGAATAAAAAAACACACAAAAAAACTCCTTGCAATACACCCAGCACAATGCAGTTGGCTGCCCACAACTACAAAAAAGTAAAAACCAAGTCCATAGAAGTGGAAATGAAAGTTAAGATTTAAGGTTATCATGCCTCAGCAACTGCATTTTAAATAATGTTCATCCTATATTATTACAGTTATTGATGTTCTCATACTGCCTATAGCCTGCTTATTTATCTCTGCTCATTGACGAGTCAATCCAGTCACACAGTACTTTACTCCTCCTCAATTAGTAAGTCCAGTTTGGCTAATTTAGTCTGTTGAAGACACTATAAGGACGCTTCATGTAATTTTATGCCGACGGACAGTCGATGTTGAGACCCTATAAATTGTGTTTAAGTGGATTAATAGTGTGCTGAGCTTGTGTGAGCAAAGTGGTGCTGGAAGTAGTGGCTCTCTATGCAGTGGGATAATTAAATAGGTTGTACTGCAAAGACTAGCTTATTTAGTAGCTACTGTTTACATGTGTGCTTTAGGCTAAAATATTAAAAAATTCAGATATAAAAAAGGTTCAAATTCTTAATTTGATTTGTCACTACTGTAGTAGATTCAAAATTGGTGTCTTGCTTCTGCTTTGTTTTTATCATGATTTCAATAAACCAGTATGAAAAGCCAGATATGCATGAATATAAAAGACCTTTGTATGAATTAGTCCGATACTCTGTCTCCTACTGGCTTTGTACCTGTTTTGCTAGTTGGTTGGTGTTTTGTGGCACTGCTATTTCAGAAAACATCATGGCACACCTCAGATAGCCTTGACTTTGAAGCGTCACTGTTGTTTGAAGATAGAAGATGGCTGTGCAGTAGGAATGCGAGGCTTCACCCTAATAGAGACTAGACTGAAAGTGGATTGTCCATGAAACTGCTTGATCTTGACCTGGCTGCCTGCTGTTATGGGTCCTCTGTCTGTCATAACCCCCCCACTCCCAACAACTACACACACACAAACCGTCTGACTTTATACTTTTTTCTGAGGGAAGTGTAAACTGCACAGATATCAACACTTTTAAGCATTAGGTAAAAAAAAACACTATCAACTACTCTGGCACAAAAGCCTCAGCGTGCTGTTTATTTATGGGTTGTAGAACTATTCCACACAAATTTAATCCCTGTCGTCTGCTGATTTCTAGCAGCCTGGCTTGGAATTCCTCTCAATATAAGAAAATGGTATAGCCCCTGAGTGCTACTGCAGTTTTATTACCTGAGGTGGTCTGTCTGAATATAGCTTACCACATGTCTCATTCAAAGGGAATGGCAGGTATGTGTCACTAGTCATAAATTGCAGCTTGCCTTCAGCAGTAATCAGTTGCCAAGGAAACCTCAAATGGGATTATGACCTTCTGTTGTGTGTAGGCAAGTAAACTGTTAGAGTTGTCAACATCCAAGAGACAAACATTAAAGATTTATGTCAGTAAACAATTTATTTCCTCATCATACTAAATTAATGTGATGTACCTTGTGTCAGAATAGAGCTCTTAGAATACAAGTCAATGCATTTTATTTTCTATCCAAGTATTATTTAAAGCGCCATGAGCATTTTTGATTTAAATATTGCCCATCACTGTGGGATGAGTGATGTAATAAGTGATGGCTATGACCATACAGTGAAGGAAAGGCATTAGAAGGGTAGAAAACAAAGAAAGAGGGAGTGGGAGCAGAGTGCCTGGAAGGAGGGCAGAGTGTTGGGAGGGCGGAGATGGAGAAATGGGGGACGGTAGTATTTAGTATGCACGGCCAAGCTGCCCCATCTGCTTAGCGCAGCAGTCCCTGTCGTATAACTGTCTACAGGCCGTGGGCCACATAAAGAATGTCTCAGATTTGATGTAATTCCGCAAAATTAATGACAGCTTTACTCGGTATGGGCCGTGAGGGAATGATTAGTGTTTGATCGTCCATCTGATCAGTTCCCTTGGCTGGCTGCAGGAGAGATGCTCTGTTATATGCCGGCATGCTGCCTATGGCAAGCACACATGGACACACAGATACACCTATCCCAAAATTTTTCCTGGGCCCCATGCTCTAGTTTATGTTTGAGTTCTGGTTCCTGTTTCCCTCAACACAGGCAACCAGTATCTTGTTAAACCCTCTGTGCTGTGACACTTCACATCAAAATGAACATCTACTGATGGGATGGATGGAGGTCCCACTGGTGATGTGATTGTGTACAGGGCCATTTTTATATCAGGCTGTGCAGTATTTCAAAGGAAAGTGGGCCAACCAGCATCCAATTTAGAGAACTCGGAGGTCACACTATGACCTTTTACAAGATATGCTTTACTGCAGTTGTGATTGGAATTGGGTATTAGTTTTTAAAAGAGATGGGGAATGGATTGGGAATTTGAGAGAAGAAATTGATCCACTGAATGGATTGCAGGAACTGGACAAGTGGAATTCCTCTCCTTTTAATTCAGCCCCACCTCAGCCTGCCCAACCCCCATCTCTTTCCTCCTCTTGGGCTGCTGCGTTTACAAGCGAACAGGGCATTCTGTTTTACAAGTGAGCCTGGTGCGTCTCGGTGTGCTAGCAACATTAAAATTGAACCCGTCTTATCTGTACAAAGCGTGAGGCTTTACATCAGAGGCTGTCGTGCTGCTGCCATGAGGCTCCTGCGTACTTTTATGTAATGTGGTGCAGTCAAAAACCCAGTGGACAATTAAAGTGAGCTGATAGATAAACAAGTGATTGAAGGCTGGGATGTTAGTTTGTGGAATGTAAGGTAGAGTTGGGGGAGGGCAACTTTATTGCCAAACTGTTTACTATTGTTAACAAGGCCAAGTCCAACTCATGACATGCATTTCTCAGCCAAATGAAATGTCATCATCACTTACAGACAGACTGATCTCGGGAGAAATGCAGTGTCTCTGACCATTAGCACTCTGGTCCAGTATCAAGCACGGGGAGCCCAATTCAGCAAAGGCTTGGGGAGGGTTGTGTCTCTGCCAACACAGATTGTTGGACAGATTGGCAATCCTTCACTGTGTATGGACAGAGTGTTTTTCCCTGAAATTGTAGGCCATTATAACAAATTACTTGCAAAAACACCATTAAAGTAAACAAAAAACCTCTTGCATCTGTTTTAATGCTAGGCCCGCTCCAGCTCGATTGCAACTCATTTCATTATCCTCTCTGTTTTCTTCTTTCCTCAGTGTTTTTCCATTTTTGTACTCCCTTCCATAACACTGTCTTTCCAAATTACTTGAACGTGTTTCCTCCAGCCTGGGTCCCCCCTTCCCAATCGGCATCCTCTGATCTCCTTTCATTCTGCTCTATTTCTTGGCCCACTCCTCCTCCCCCACTGCTTTCTTTTTCTCCTCCTCATTTTATATTTTTGGCTGAGCTGAGGACCTTTCTTAGTGCAGTGACCTTTCAGGTTTTAAATTAAGCCCCACTGCGGCATGTCTCTCTTCATAGACCGCCGGTTACGAGCCTTCAGAGAACCGCAAAAAAATAACGATTCTGATGAAATGGCCCCTTTAAAAAGCTCTTCCAAATTCCTTTTACATTTTTCTTCCCCTCCTCCCCCCTTTCTGGTCGCATTAATATTCACACTAATGAGGAACATCCTAAAGAGCAGACCATGGAAAATGTGAGATGAGATGCATGCACATGCCTCCCCACATGCACATCATACACACACTGTTGCTCATTGCTAATGGGTTCTAATCAAATGCCATGTATGTTTGAAGTGATTTA